AATGCACGTATCGAGATGATTTTTTTTTTAATTTGGTGTAGCGCGAAAATTCATGAGCACTGAAGCTATTGTGTTAACGAAATTAATATTCTTTCAACCAGAAATTTACAAAAAATTTGTTTTTTGGATTTTACAACACATATTTACTTACCTGATATTTGTAAAATGTTAACTAGATCTTTTTGTGTAAGTACGTATTTAACTTTGATAACTTCCTAAAAATCTTTATTCATTGGGACCTTTTCGAGTTTATTATTTAATTTAAATATCTCTATTTCTCATTATAAGCAATATATCACCTGTGTTGTTGAAACAAAATTCCAAAAAGACCCCTCCGTCACATTCATGGAATTAAAGAGACATTGGCGGTAAATTGCTACAGTAGTTCCCCTAACAGAACTTTATTGGCTTATTATTTTCTTAGATCCCAACAAATATTGACTGTACATCTAATTTGAGCCACCATAGATTTTATCAATTTTCTTGAACGAAGCACCTTGGCAGCGAAAACGCAAATAAAATTTAGCAGTCGTAACGGCAGTTAGTTCTTTTCCAAACGCGTAAACCCGAAAGCACCGGGCAATAAAAATTCACACGCACGTCCTCCTGCGCTAAATAAAGTAGATAAAATTTGCATCGGCTGCCTATACATGTAGAACATTAGGTGATTTTATTAGTGTTCCCTTTATACAGCGTTCGAATACGTGACAGGACGTCTTGACAAAGAACACTGCTTACTCCTGCGACATATCTCTAAGAGAAAAGATATATTCCAGTGGGTTTTATTTGATAAGAAAAACGTTTCTATTTGTCTGCATTATGGAAGAGACTGTGGACGTTAGTACTCTATTTAACTCTTAACTTTCGAATATGAGATTCGAAGCCGTTTGCACAGTCCGTATCCAAAAGTAGTTGCCGACGAATCGACCAAATCCCGAGAAGCAAAATGTCAAAATCACACTGAAGAGCGGTCTCCGAGAATTGGCGGAGCCAGCATCAAGCGTGATCGAACGTCCACTCTCGTATTTTGTAGTTCTATATCAGAGCAGAAATGTGTGCAAGACTCGAATTCAATCAAAATTGTGAGTGTTTTCGACTCTTATATACATTATATTCGATACTTTACTATCATTACCAAACAAATTTATAATTGAAAAACTTGTTTAAAACTTACAAGCTAAAAAAGCGCTTGTGATAGAATGCTAAGTAAATGACATTTCTTTATATATTTCAGATCAACCTCAGTGAACATAACCTTCTACAGGACATTTTGTTGAATGGAGAACAGATTTTATAAAAAAATACAATTAATGTAATGTAATGCTTCGAGTTTTTTTACATTTTGATAAACTTCAAGTTCTCATTTCACAAATTTGAGTAACTTGTAATAAAATTTGCCTTCAAATTACATAAAAAATTGCAACGAAGTCTCATTTAATTTCCAAATTCAAAACGTCTTCTTCATGCCATCCTGATCCGATTTACTTATTTAACAAGTGAAAGTAATGCAACGAAAAACCTTTCTAATTTTAAATACAGGACGGTCCCAAGCTTGAATTTAAAGCTTTTGATGTTTTCCCCTTTAAAAAAAATTATTCCCCCTTAATCCTTATTTATTCTTGTCTGGCACGGATATCACTGTTACATTTAATTAATTTGTACCTCATAAACAGGTTTTGTTTACATTTTCTGTAGATTTCATTAATTTTTATCGTATAACATAAAACAATTTCTGTTTACATTTTTTGTAGATTGCGAATTTGATTAAAAGACCAAAGTAGCGATAGACCTCAGGTTCTGGCTACTTACTTTGATTTTATGTTCGTACTGTTGAGAAGGCTTCAGAAATTATTAATTAACTGCTAATGTATTTCGTAGCAAACAAAAAAAATATTAGCAACAAGTACTAATACGTCTTGTATATATCTACATCGACATGTTGATAAGTAATCGACGTACCATTACATATTTCCACTCTATATCCTCTAAAAAAGCACTCGCCTGACTGAAGGTCTCCCAACATTCAGGTCCTATTAGCCCTTCTCAGAAGCGTCTGGGTCCATTATTTCATAGTCACTAATTAGCGAGGGTCCCAATTAAGTTAGACCCACTAAGTGACAGAGGAAGTGGTTATTTTCATCACCACTCAGTTTTAAGGAAACCAAAATGATATATAAGCGTTGCAAAAATTTATATATTCCTGTTTATTCGGGCTCGCCCGGTAGGGTTATTGGAAATGATGCCCTTCATCAGGGCCTCTGTCTCCTACTGGTCTATTTCATGGTTAATCAAGTCCCATTTTCTGCGAAGCCGTTCGGACAAACAGCTGCCTGCGAATTGAGACTGCACACCCTTCACGCTCCGACAAATTCGTTCACGATAATGTATTTAGAAGGGCTTTTAATTACCAGGGGCTAGGGTCGCCAACCTAAGCCTGTATCGTTGAATATTAACATTGGCTTCAAATATTCTGCCATATCTAGCGAAATTCAAAACAACAAAATTTATTAGATTATATACAATGGCGCTGACATGGATGCTGGGGGTAGTTTTCAGAGATTGGAGAGTATGTAAAACATGTCGAAATATGATAAAAACTTTAGTAGAGTTTTTGCCAGTGGCGGCCCCTAAGGGAAATGCAGCCCCAGTAAATAGTTTTTATTTCATAACTTCAAAACGGTTTAATATTAAATAGCGAAATTTTGGGGTTCTATTACTATTTATATGCTTAATAATCGGTATAATATAGAATTCAAAATTTGCTACAGGGGCCCAAGAAAATGCGGGATCATGATGCAAATTTTACAATTTTTTTTGTGTACAATTTTTTCTACTTCCTGAACCGAAAATATGAAAATTTATTATATTATTTCATAAAAAAGGTACTCTTGTTAGATTTTGATAGCATGAGCCGTTTTCAAGTAAAATCCATTCCAATAATTCATTACTGGCTCAAAAAATCCTGCTGAAAATAAATGTACCAAATTGTGCCAAATTTGCGCCATGGTCCCACATTTTCTTTATAGCAAATTTTGATTTGTATATTATACCGAATATTAAGCATATAAATATTAATACAACACCAAAATTTCGTGATTTAAAATTAAATTGTTTTGAAGTTATGAAATAACTTAACAAGGGGCTGTATCTCCCTTAGGGGCCGCCACTGACAAAAACTCCACTAAGGTTTTCATCATATCTCCACATGTTTTACATACTCTCCAATTTGGAGTACCTATTTCGTTAACACCTTGAACTTGATTTTTTAAACGAAATTTTATGTTAATTTTCATAAATTACAAAATAAATCATTACCTATTTGAAATGATGTCCATAGTAACTCAAATAGGGCTGGCAATTTTAAACGGAACACCTTATGTATGCCATGATAAATCTATTCATATTCTTATTGAAAAAACTACGAGCGTAAACTGCATATTTACGTTCAAAATGCTTCTTTTTACAGTGAAACATCGCCATCTTGTAGTTGGGAATAGTTTCACCAGAGTTGCCGTCTATTCCTTCGGAATCAATGTAGATAACTCTAGGTACATGCGACACTTGCCTTAAGGCGTGTATTGAGGCGCCATCTAGACTTGGACGGCCTAAGCTCAAACTATATAAACACTGTCATTAGAAATCTATTTTAGATATACGATTAGTATCCGCGATAATTTTTAAGATGCAAGCGCACCAAGCGGCGAAAGCAGTAAGCTCCGAAACAAGGTAATTTTGACATTGCCGTTCGCGTTTACACATTCATTTGAACAACATTTGTCTTATTTGCCATTATTATTAGTAATTTTGTTATCAAACCGCGGTTATTTAACTTTTGTGTTATTTTATAGGTTCCAAATATTTCATAAATAAATTTTAAAGCAAGTATTTATGCCTATTTTATTTGTCTCTAGCATTACAATTGAATGTACATTTTATTAAGTTATAACTATGAACTTATCCGTTGTAGAATACATTTCCTATTTACAAATATGCCAACGAAAACTCTCGTTGTATATCAGAAGGAGAGGCAGTTTTTAAGGCTGATCATGTGGTACTATATGGGAAAATTGGGCAAAGTTAATTTAAATTTAGAAATTTATATTATGTCTGCAAACTAGTGCCCTTACTTACTAACAACCCTCATGATATTCAGGGAGTATTATCTATCGGCAATAATATTTTGAAAATTTCTTCAATGCTTTGATGAACTTATTTCTGGATTTTTCTTGGACCATGAAGAGCAACCTTGAACTGAACAATAATAGTTTGACAGTTTCTTCTTTCTATCCATAATTGCCGAAATTTTCCTCACACTATTTTCTTAAAATAACAGTGTTCAAAAAACGAACACTAAATACAGTTTTAAATAAAATACAAAACGAAATGTCACACAGAAGAAATGTTTACCTTGTTTCGCTAGTATCACTTGTCATCGCCAGAGGGCGAGCTCTTAGCTGAATTCGCGAATCAATAATTTGACTTCTCAACAGATAATTTCAATGGTATTGGCAAATATCTGTCAAACAGTTGGTTTCACAGTCTTTCCACTTGAGAAATAGAAAAATATCAGTCAAACAATAATATAGTAATTTGTTTCTTTAATTTTATATTTGTTGCAATGTCATTGCTCGTCTTGCGATTAAAGGTATGTGTAATAATAATTTGGGTTTCTATCGATAGGTGGCAGCGGTGCCACCACAAATAGTCAAACTACAAAAATTCGATGTGCTGGTAAAATTATTGAATAAAATATAAAATATATAAACATAACTGCATTCGTCATTCACCATTTCTTGTATAAAATACATGTAAATTTTAACATCTTTGAAAGCAAAAGCGCTGTTGTAAGTTCTGGTTTAAGAGTATCCTATAAACTGTTACATTAAGGGCACCTCCGAACACAAGGTGGCGCCGTATGTGACTCGTGGGGAAAAACGTTACGTCATTTTGTTTGTGCAGGTATAGGTTACATATTTTACATATCTCTCGAGTGTTATAGATATTGTAGAAAGTATAGAATATGTTTCCAATAAGTAATCTAGTCATACCACCGCGTTCATTAAAGGGACGTGTTCTGTGATAAAATTAGTGTTAAGTGTGTTAAGTGTCAATTATTACCGGAGAATCGACCCTGCCGCGCCGTCATTGAAACAACCGCTTATTTAATAAATATCACTCCCAATATTTACAAGCCATCGCGAGCCTTGACATATTGTTATTGTTTGTGTGTTTTGGATTGGGTTCTGTAATCATGATTTATGAATGATATAAATTTAGACGGGCTATCGCAGATTAACAAAAAATCCACGATGGAGCCCATCGCCGATAGCGATATACCTCAGTGGAAAAAGGACTTGATAGCCCGCCTCAGGAGTCAAAACAGAACGGCGACCGTGGCTGGTAGCGGATCGGATCAACAGCTGTCCGTATCCCCCCAACACTCTTCGTCGGACCGTGCGGGACAACAACCTAGCTCAACGTGCAAGAGTGAATCAGTAACGTCTGGCGTTTCGTGTCCGCTCGCTAGTGAACAGTGTAATGTGATTTCTACAACGTGTTCGCTGCCGAAACAACACAAAATGGTGCAAGAACGCGTCTGGGTGGACGGTAAGCACGACCCCTTCGCCGAGGCCATGAACGACAACTACGGCAACAACGGCTACCACAAAGACAGCGACGAGGACTCGGATTCCTCGGAGGACCTGCACTACGGCCCCGGTATAGTAAACAAGCTGAAGAACAAATACCTGAGCTTGGCGCTGCGCGAGAGCAACGTTAGGCCGTCCATACTGCATATGCGAAAGGCCACATCTTTGGAGAACCTCCTCGACGACAACGTGCCCAATGGAACCGGCAGAGGCAGACAGTTTCGCTCTAGGTTAAACGGCAATGACACCGACAAGAACGTGCCGAACCGGTACAGGAATGCCGCGCGCGGAGAGATGAAGAGGGCCCGTTCGGTGGAAGCCATCTCTAGATTCGACCACCACGTTCCCCTGATCACGGAGGTGCGTCCGAACCGGCAGTCGCTGCACGAGGAAATGCTTATCGCCGCCGAAAAGGAAGGAAACGACCATCTCCACAGGAAAATGATGTTAGATAACCAACTCGAAGCAAACATCGAGAATAAATTTAACAGTAACAACGTCGGAACGCGCGTTAATAGGCCGAAGAGAATACAGCCGATAATGAACGAGAAGGAAAAACCACCCGCCGACGTGGTGAAGCAGGCCAAGATGATTTTCGAGAGGAGGCCTGAGCAACGCACCAAGGCGCCACCGCAGACGGGCGACGTAGCCGCTAAAGTGGATAGTTTCAATAACATCATCGTCAAGAACAAGGTGGAGGCCAAGACGGTATCGAAGAAACCACCCATTAAACACGCCAAACCAGTACTTAATGATAAAACGAAAAGTAATACTCGTCCAATGGCAAAACCCGTAGTGGTTAGTGAGGAAGTTTTGAAGTCTCCCAACCAACTCAACTCGCCACCGAGGAGCCTTGAACTGAACAAAGTGCCTAAGAAGGACTTCAAAGACGAGCTACCTCTACCCAGTCCCATACCGGACGTCTCGAGGATAGATTTCCACAACAAAGGGGAAAACGAGCGTGGGAAAAACGGCTCTAGTCTTTCGGAAACGCCCGATCTTATCTTAACATCTAGTCCTTTGCCAGCCGTCACTTCGCCAACATACAATAAGAAAAACCTCACGGAGAACTTCCTCAGAGAAGAAATCTTAAGTTCTTCACCTTTATTACCACGCAGCCCCCTGCTGAGCCCCACCAACAGACCGACCAGTCCCTTACTGAGTCCCAGTAGACTCCGACCGGTCAGTCCACTGTTGAGCCCTAGAAAATCGCCCAGCCCCACGAATTTAAAACCCACTGTCCTGAATTACGACGCCGACGACTCGGATGGCCCATCAAAGAAACTTTCCCCAACGCCACACGGCACCGCGGTGTTCAACTTCACCCACCAAACCGTGAATCAGTCACACCTTCCCGTGAACAAGAACGTGTCAAATACGAAAACGCCCGCAACGCAACCTCTGAAAATCGAAATAAACGGCCATAACGAGGCGAAAACCACCACCTCCTCCTCCACCAGGTTGCTCCAGGCGCAGCCACCGCGATCGCCTCCGAAGTTCTCGCCCCCGCCGCCTCCTAAGATCGAGGAGGCGGTGGAGAAGCCGGCCATGAGCCTAACCGTGACCGAAATCGAGAAGAACCTCATCAACACCGTGAAGACTCTGCAGCAGCCCAACAAGGGTAGTGTGTTGTGCGTCAGCGCTAGTGTGGAAGTGGTGAACAGGAGTATCGTGGCGACGAAGAAGGGCAGGCCTAGGGAGCCGGCCTCCAACACGGCGGTTTTCAATTTCACCAACAGGAAGGACGTTCCGGACTACATCTCCAACGACCGATCGCGGTCACCTGGCCGACCCGAGCTGCCCAAGGTAAATATGCACTTTCTTTTACTGTCGCTCTACGACGTATCGGATAAGGGGGAACGGAGGGGTCGGTCACGAAATCGAAAGCCAGCAATTTGCGTTTTCTCAATAAGCGTCTTTGTATTCAAAAACAATCAAAATTGAACTCATGATTACATCAGTGCCAGCCACCGGTCTGTATTTTCTCGAGCTGGACAAAAAGCGTATACGAGAATCATGATTTAAAAGCTGGAATCATGATTACATCAACTAGTCCAGGGAACGATGAAAAAAGTAGGGTAAAACCTCCGAATACTTTCGGATAGATCCGATTTTTATGAATTTGGAATTAAACTTACTTCACCGTGTAGATAAAATGTTATACAGGGTGGTCTGAAAGACACTAGCATAAATTCAGGGGCTGATAGAATTTAAAAAAATATTGCAATTTGTCCTTATGAACCATGGGCGTCCCTTTTCCGTTTACAGCATTGGCATTGAAAATAATTTTTTTGGAATCTAGTTTCGGTCCTATCTTCCACAAAATTCCGAAAATTGAAGCGGTAAGGTATCGTTGGTTTTTTAACGATAACTTCCTTAATTTTAAAGTTATTAAGACGATCCAAAAACAATTATACGGAAAATTTCGACAGCTAAAGGTACTGTAAAATTGAATATTTTTTAAGTCGTTATTTTTGAGATTTTTGAGGTAAAAGGGTTTGAAGAAAATGACCTTGGCCTTCAGCTGCAAACTTCTAGCAGCGACATCTCTGTTAATTTATATCCTACACAAATAAAAAGAAATCTAAATATTCTGTGAAAAAAAAGTAAGTAAACTTTTGTACTCTTGAAAATTTTTCGTATTTTTAAAGTTATTTTCAAAAATATGGTTTCTAAACCGCTTAAACTTGTATAATATATTGTTAGCACATAAAAAAATGTAAATTGTACAAGGATTACCTTTAATTTTAAATCTCGTGAAAAATTCATCAGTTTTTGTCGAGGGACGATCCGCTGATGTAATCTCCGTACGTTTGCCCTGGAATCCTATGTAATCGTTTCTGAAATCTTTGCAATCTCCGTGTAATTAAGACGTTTTAATATTTATCTTTTTGAAACTTTGTAATCATCTAAGAATCTCTTTAAAATTGAAATCTATGAAATTTTATCTGTAATCTACGTATATTTTATCTGTAATCTATGTAATCTATCTGTAATCTATCTGTAATCTATGTAATCTTTTCTGTAACCCTCGCTGTAATCTGTGTAATCAGCTAACCAATTTCGTCGTTATACAACGCCCCCCCCCTACCTCAATTTCCAAAGGATGCCACAGAAACCTAGACAGAAACCTATATAGTGTGATTGGTGTGTTCCGAAGGGCAATCCGCTAAGGAAAAAACATACGAAGATTACAAAATTTCTGAAATATCTTGTAATGTATCTAAGATTTCAATATCAATTCAAAAAAGATTACAAATTTCATATAAATAAACAATATTACAATATCTTTCAACAGATTACAAAACATTTCAGGAGATTTCAGTTATTTTAGTAGATTTCAATGATTATTTAAGATTTCAATAGGATTATTAGAAATTAAAAGAAGATTTCAAAATTTCTTAATAAGGTTTCAAGGAATACGGGAAGATTACAATAAGTTTTGAATGTCCATTTGAACAAAAATAATTGAATTAACTTCAAATGTCATTCATTTCATTCATTAACAGTAGTACTTTGATTAAGAATTTCCAGTATCAGGCATTTTTTGGGCAAAAATTGTAACATTCTGATTAAGTTTTTTGTTCGAATGAACGTTAAAAACATTTTGTCATGACAAAAATGATAATGCTATTTTGAAAGTAGGTAAGTATTTTCCCAAAAACTAATAAATAAAAAATATATTAAGCTTTTATTAATACTTGCATTTAATACTTTACTTGTATACAGTGTGTTTAAAAAAGACGCGGCAATATTTAAGGGAGTGATTGCTCAGGTCAGTTTATAAAAAAAGTCCTATAAACATAGGTCCGCAAACGCTTCGTTACCGATCTACAGAATGTGAAATTTCATTAAAAAACAGTAAAAATTAAATTTCTCTAAAACGCAGCCCCTTATTATTACCTACTACAAACAACAGTATGTACCACATTTCAAAAATCAATCAAATTTGATAATTTGAATTTCTTTGTTCAATAATTTAAATTTCTCAATTAAAACAACATTGGGTTTAGGTGCGCAATAAAATGTTTTTTATTTTTTTACTCAATAACGGTGTGACGTACGGTGCGTATAATCTGAGGAAAGCTTTCTTCTTCATAATTGAACAAAGAATTAAAAAATTTTATTTTCAGAAAAACCAGCGGCGTCCTATTTTTTTCTTTAAAAATAGCTAGTGACGTGCCAATACGCGCGTCACTGGTAAGACTAAAAAATCGTTTTGTATTGCAAAGTACGCGTCTGCCATAGCTATTGACAGGCCTAAAATTTCATTATAATATCTCAAGCGGTTTTGGAGAAATTTAATTTTTACTGTTTTTTTAATGAAATTTCAACACTGTAGATCGGTAACAAAGCGTTTGCGGACGTATGTTTATAGGAACTTTTTTTATAAAATGACCTGGGAAATCACCCCCTTAAATATTGCCGCGTCTTTTTTAAATACGCTGTATACAGGTAAAGTATTAAACACAAGTGTTAATAGAAGCTTAATATATTTCTTATTATTTATTTTTTGGGAAAATGTTTATTTTATTTTACTTCTATTTTTTTTTTTATTTTTATTAGTTTATTGGATATTAAAAATATATACTTACCTACTTTCAAAATGGCGTTATCATTTTTGTCGTGACAAAAGTTTTTAACGTTCATTCGAACAAAAACTTAATCAGAATGTTACAATTTTTGCGTAAAAATGATACTGGAAATTCTTAATCAAAGTACTACTATTAATGAATGAAATGAATGACAGTTGAAGTTAATTCAAATGGACATTCAAAACTTATTGTAATCTTCCCGTAATCCTTGAAACCTTATTAAGAAATTTTGAAATTTTCTTTTTATTTCTAATAATCCTATTGAAATCTTAAATTATCATTGAAATCTACTAAAATAACTCTGAATTCTCCTGAAATGTTTTGTAATATGTTGAAAGATATTGTAATCTTGTTTTTTTATATGAAATTTGTAATCTTTTTTTAATTGATATTGAAATCTGCAGATACATTACAAGAGATTTCAGGAATTTTGTAATCTTCGTACGTTTTTTCCTTAGCGGATCGCCCCTCGGTTTTTGTACTAATTTTTTTCCGAAAAAGCGAATTAACAGTTTTATTTTGAACATAACTCTGTTAATTTTTATGCTAATGACTTAAAGTCAGGTTCATTTTAAAGATTTTTTAAAGTAAGTACTTTAAAAAATGTTCTGCGCAATTTTCTTGAAAAATACAATTTTTTTGGTTATTTTACGTTAAACGCTTCCAATTTAGTTTCTGGCGAACATGAAATTATCTTCAACTTGCCGTATCTCAGCACCTCAGCACCTATTGCATCTACATAAATGAAAAATAAAACTTAATGTTTTTCTTTTTCTATAAGCTTCATTTTCATCGAGATGTTCTTTTTTCCGAGAAAAACTACTGAAAAACGTATTTTTGTTTAATAAGAAATGTACATTTTCAATCACCAATAACTCAGAAAATATCGGCTTATCGAAAAATGTTCATAAGATACTTTTTGCTTAAAATTGATTTCTTTATAGATTCCTGGTGTTATTTTTCAATATTTTGTTTTTCCACCACCTAGAAGGGGCCCCCTGGGCAAAAGCGGTTATCGGCACTATAAAACTTTTGTTTCTTGAGGTAGTTTCACGTCATTTGGTTCTATCCGAAAGAATTCGACCCTTGGTTCCCTGGATTAAACACCAACCAACCATTTTCAACAAGTGTTTTTTACCATGGAGATTATTGTACTTATACGAGTTGTGTCCAAAAACAAAAGGTTTTAAAAATTAAAATCAATCAATACGTATGCATATATATGTTCGTTCTAAATTTGAATACTTTTCACTGGAATTGACATTAAAAAGTTCTTAAATTTCTCAAAAAGTGAAAAGTAAGGAGTGAAAGGTTGGAAAGTACTTTCAAAAAGCAGGCTTTAGTATAAAAATAAACCATCGTTGAATGAATAAATTTAATTATTTAAATAGTTAAATAAGTACGTACTTAAAATTTTCTGCCGACAAACTTTATAAAAAAAAGTAAAAAATGATCATTTAGAAGAGGCCTCCGGAATAGAGAAAATTATTTTTGAGAAATTTTCGCAAATTTCGTCACGAAAGCAAAAAAAACCTAAGAAACTAAGTCCGAAATTAAGCTAGACAATATCTGGAAGTAACGTGAGTAAAGTTATATTTACTTGATTGACTTTTATAGATCATTAATTGTTGATCCTTATCAGAACGCATATCTACTATTATTTAAGACATTGTGTTTTGTGCGACGCAAGCTAAATTGATAGATAATATTTCGTCACAAAAGTAAGCCTTGCTGAGCAATTTTTCTTTGAAATAAAAATATAACCGTAATCGCTTGCTTTTATCAAATCATATTAGTTTAGTTGTAAAATACGTAATTTATTTTACCCAATATATCAATAAAGTCAGGAAAAAAGTTTAGACAGCCATGAAATTACAGTAATATGCATGTTTTGGTTTGGTAAACCCATTATACAAAAGTAATGATCTCACGAAGCTACACCAGCAAATCTGGTTAGTGTTATCTAACCTCGACTAAACAAGTGATTATTAATTACATCTTGCTTGATTATTTTCATACACTTGATTAGATACATACTTACGAATTTAACAACATTTTAGTTCCAGCAGGAATTTCCATAACAAATAAATCATTTTTATCTATTATTTAACGTTTGACCTAAAAACTATGGTTCTAAATAAACTATTATTACAAATTGCGGCTTTACTGGTACAATGACACGTTAAGAGTATGATTACTAATCAACGAATA